ATAACATAGGTATTAGGTAAAGCATAAGTATCTCGCCCATATCCCAGTGATTGAAGTGGTGTTCCGCTGGGGACAGTCTACTGCTGAGAGTCGGGGCGGTGCGGTGACCTCGTCTGTGTCGCGGCGTCCGGCCGTGGTGGGACGGCCGCCGAGCTGGCACCCGGCCCGGCGGCGTATTTCGGTCGCCCCGCTCCAGATAGCTGGCATTGCTCGGGCCACCTCGAGTCGAGATTTGGCGACAGGACAGCCCGGAGGGGCGCGCTAGAGGAGCAGAGAGACGGGTCATGTAGGCGGGACACGACCGGGCCGACGCCGAGGAAAAAAGGAATGTTTATTTTAAAATGTATGTTGAAGCTTCAAAAGCGATCCCAAGCATGGTCTAATTTATCGAGTTTAGTTTTCCATATTCTTTAATAACAATTCAATGATAATGCTTAAAGAGAATGTTTGCAGTCTGTGGAGGAAACGACGGAATCGTCAAACTATGTAAAAAATCTGCTAATTCCGCGCTTTGACATTCACGATCATTTCCCGTCAAGATAAGATATGATCGGTCCACCATCCTTCCACCCTGGCCTGGAGAGCAGCGAAGGGGAGCGGGTGGACGGCCTCCTGAGCCGTTCTCCCGCCAGTCTGGACAGCTGCGGTGACCGGAGCCGCTCTGTGCAGACAGTGACCCGGGCCCGGGCTGACCATGACGGTCCGGGTCACCAAGGAGCGTTCACCCGTGCCACGACACCCGCTGAGACCGGTCCCTGGCCCGCTGCGGGGGCGGGGGCGGAGAGAGAGAGTGGCGGAGGGGCAATTAGAGAGGGTGACATGCCTAACCGTTCACAGTGAGCCGCTCCAGCGATGCTGCGCACGCCGTCACAACACGGATTTGCGCACCTTCTGTCACATGTCAGAGGATTTGTGCCGTGACGAGACTGGGAACACGAGGGTGACCTTCGCCACCCGTACACAACCCGCTAGCCCAAACGATGACCGATAGCAATGTCTTGTGGTTGAGATCACTCGGAGGTTTTGCCGCGTGCCTGGGCAGACCACAATTGAAGGTTTGTGACTTCCTAATAACATGACATACGACGCGGAGACCGGTCAGAACCGGTGAGGTGGCGTTCTGGGATTCCACAACACCGGCCTCTGCCAGCAAAATTAGTGTGGGCGGCAGACTTGGCAGTCGTCCCATTTTAGCAGATGCTCTGGAAGAACTCCTCGACGGTCAGGCTTCAGAAAAAATAACAGGAAAATTAATGAAAGCAGAACTAACACCGCTGTTTGAATATGTTAAAGCTAAAATAGCCAAGCAGAGAGTGAGTCCAACATCAGCACAACTATGCATCCACAGCAGCGTAACACTGGTGCGACAACAAAACCCAAATGCTTTGCTCGGTTACAATTCAACTCGGAAATATTTCCGCCCAATCGTACATCTTTCAACACTGGTAAGATTTCATCGTCTGCACATTGCTTGCTGCAGCTCACTGAAATAAGAAATCGCCCCATCTTTTCATGAGAACAGACATGTGAACAGTGTCCCAAAATTGTATTTTCGCTTGGGTGTCGGAGGGGGAAATTGTCACCCAAAAGGGAGATAAGAGTGGAAAACTGTCAGTCACACAAGGCTCAAATAGAGTGGAAAAGGATCTATGGCGACTGGCGTTATCGGTATACAAGTGTGACAGATTGTAGGATGTAAAACAACCACCCACGCAAATGCTTGCTGCCAGTAAAACTGGGAGTGGAAAATAGCTCTTAAAAATGGGGATGAGAGTGCAAAATAATTTGCCTTTGGATGTCAGTTCCCACCCAAATTGACAAATTTTGGGATACTGCATGTGAACCGACGTGGTCAATTGAGAATCTCTTCCGAATCGTTTAGTGATCTCTCAGTCCGCTGAGAATTGCGTATCACGTCTATACTGTACTGTAATTTGACATTGTTCTCGACTGTCAGCGAACTGTTGGGACTAATCGTACTGCTATGGTTTTGTACTGGAGCTGTGTACTGTGTACCATGTGTTGTGTGCTGTGTGCTGAGATTGTGTGATTGTATGCAGTGCCGGGTGCTGGGGCTCTGTACTGTTTTCTGTGTTGTGTGCGGGGCTCTGTGCCGTATACTGTGTTGTGCTGGGACCGAGGCGCCAGCCGGTGACGCCGGCCGGCCTGTGGCTGTGGTCGGTGATGTGACTGTAGACTGTGCTGTGTGCTGGGACTGTGGGCTGTGCTGTGTGCTGGGACTGTATTGTGTTCTGTCTACTGTGTACCATTGGACTGAGGCGCCAGCCGGTGACGCCGGCCGGCCGGCCGCGCCGCGCCGGCCGTGTCCGGCCCGCCCGGCCGCGCCGCCCGTCACTGACTGGCGCCTCTGTTCCAGGTGTCCACCATGTCGCGCTACCGTCGGCCCCGACACCACACCTACGATTACAACTACAAGGTAGGCGAGAGCAGCTACCAGGACATGCTCGCCTACCTGGACCGCAAGCAGGGGCTCCGCTCGGCCAGCCCGCCGCCCGGCAGAAAGTCGTTCGCCGAGCGGTTCGTCGAGAAGCCTATCTACGGCGACGTGGGCGCCCTGGCGCTCGGCTCGGCCGCCGGCAGACCGCTCGCCGGCGGCTCGGTGGACGGCGAGACGCGCGCCGCGCTCGCAGACGCCGATCTGGAAGCCGAGGAGTTCATTGCCGCGCTGAAGCGACGGCCGCGCGCGCAGGCCAACGGGCCGTCGGCGCTGGCCGGTGAGCCGGGCGAGGATCTAGGAACGCGCACCCGGCGCGCCCTGCAGAAGATCGACGCCGATTTCGAGGCGATGGGTCTGTTCGCCCGGGCGCCGGCGGCGTCGGCGGCACTGGCGGTGCGCGAAGACGGCGAGGAGGCGGCTCTGAGCTCAGCCAAGGTCAGCTCGGCGCGGGTCAGCGCCGCCGTCTCCTCAGAGAAGGTGGCCGCCTCGGAGGAGGCGTCGGCGACCAGGGCCAGGCGCTCGGTCCGGTACGCGAACTGAGAGGCGCGCGGGCCGGCGCGTCAGACGGAGACGGGGAGAAGACGTCGGGAGGTTACAGCTGATGTTGGAGATTCGGTGGAAAGAAATTGGAGGACTGCCGAGATGAGTGGCAATCGCACGGATCAGAACGCTGAAGACGGTCTCGAATGATTCTGGTGTTGAGAATATCGGCTCAAAACTGCCCCGGAAAATGATTAAAGGACGCTGGATGAAATACCGTACAATGACGCTTGCTCCGATCGTTATATTTTGCATTCATTCTACTATATGAATTATGACTGTTCATCGGAAGTTACAAATCGGGCGTTGGTTAAGAGAAATCAGAAAACAATCCTCACCATTGTCGGGGGTTAAAGTGAAGGACTAAACTCAGACTTACCCGACATAAAGACGTGGAGTTCGGAAACAGAATGTATTGAACAAAGCGAACACAGGTTTATTTATGACAGAAACTTGGGCGTTGGCCGACTCTTCTTTGGGTGGTGGCCGCTACGCGGAAAGCAACGATTGGACGAGAGACAACAAGGGCTGCAACGCTATTGGTTGGACGGAAGTTGTTTTGGAGCACGCGATCCTTTTTGTGAGGGGGGCTGGCGCCGGCTTGACCCGACTCTGGTATTGATCCAGTAGTCGGTCCGCACGAAATTGTGGCTGTTGAGGTAGGACAAAGGACGCGAAGACAAAATGATATATGTAAAGGATGCCGCACGACACCATATATGTCCGGTTGTAAAATGTTATCGTGGCGATTTGATGATTATGTAGACGATCGTCCCAAACAGTTTAAACCAGATGAGACAATTTCGAGCACACAATCTAGTGCAAAGATTGTATGACTAGAATTAAATGGAGACACACATTGCCTTTATTGAGTTGCTAATAACATTTCCATTAACCTCTCTATCCTCACTGCTAGTCTATGCCAGTGTTTCGTTACGTATTTATTTTCTTTTTGTTCTATGTATTACGCTGTTTTGCTACTTACTTTTATGCTCGCTTATAACAGAGTGGAACTTGGTTCCCCTTTGCGTCTAACGCTACTATTAACCAATGATGCGGGTGAAACTAAGAGTGTGATCCGCTTTGAATAACCGAACAGTGCTGGGTACATATGGGTCTTGTAAAGACTACTGATGTAAAACACTGCCTAGTGTCTAATAGCTTCTGCCGTCGGTCTGTATTTGTGACCACAAAAGAAATGTCTAATACTTTTGTAAAATAACTAAGATGCTGACGTTCACTCAAATCTTTTTAGCTTCTGGTTACAAGTGATGAAATACAGGTACACAACTAATCCACTACATAACTTATAGATTATTGACAGACGGACGGACTCGCGCCTTTGTGCTTTGTACTCACGGATAGGACGCCGTTTGTTTGTAACACCAGTTGCATAGTTTTGCCCGTTACTTGCCATTGTGCTAGTCCAAGCATTTGTATGTTTGCCTTATGTTTGTACGAAAATATACGGTTGAAACCCAAACATGCTGTTATGGAGAAGTTGAGGGAGGATAACTACTTTTTTACACAGTGGACAGTGAGCACTTATATCTTATAAGGATAGGTATCTAATTTGCACGTCCAGACTAAATCGATACCGTACCGCATTTACATAAACTGCACTTTGCCACTACTATAGGCACAGCCGGTGCTGCCAGTCTGTAGCATTTATTATTATTTTTTATTAACAGTAGCGAATAACGAACAAAAAGAAGCTCAGCCATTGTATCGATGCATTGAAAAAGTCTAATATAAAAAGGTTGAGCTGGGTGACTGAAGGGTAAAATAGATATCCGTAACGTTTAACAGCATGACGAGCGGTCAATTGGAGGATATTCCATGCCTTTCCCCTCAACCCCACCCCGATCAAAACCCATAATTCGGAACGGGCACCCTACCCCCCGCGCTCCTACAGCACGCCTCACTGTACCCGGCTAACGGCTCACGACCCCTCCCCTTCCCGACACAGCCCACCGTCGCTGACACCCGGCCCCGCCTGCAGCGCGCCGCCATGAGTGCCTCGCTGTACCCGGCGCTGGGGCGCCGTAACAACCTGCTGCGCTCCCTGCGCGCCGAGGCGGCCGTCGACCGCTCCTTCTACGACCCGGCCGTGGACCGTCAGACGCTCTACAGCCTGCCGCAGCGTGCCCGCTTTTGGCCCGGCTCGGACACCCTGTACGGCGACGAGTGGCAGTACTGGTACGGTGACATCGCCATCCCGGAGGAGCTGAGCCGGCCGCGCCGCCGGCCCAGCTGCCTCGACGACGAGCAGGGTCTCAACGAGCGCCTGTTGCGTAAGATGCGCGGTGACAAGGGCGAGTTCTCGTCGGGGGCGGCGCAGCGGCGCTCCTCGGCCAGCCGCATCGAGTCGGTGGCGGACGCCGCCGAGAGCAGCATGGAGCACCTGGCGCGGGCCCGCTCCCTGCGCGCCAGCTCCGTCAGCCGGCTGCAGGCCACCCGCGACAGCATGGAGCGCGACGCCAGAGCTATCAGGTCGGTGGACGATACTGCAGGGAGGCGGGCTCGTAAACGTAATATCACACAGTAGGCTGTGCCGCAGTACACCTGCCGGTTAGACTGTACCGCACAACATATGTAATCGGCAAATGTGCCATGGCCCATGAGCCACGTAAACGTGCAGCGTATGTGTGTTATGGGCATGCGCCAACAATTAAAATGCTTTGGAACTTTTAATGAATAGCCACTGAGTCCCCTCTCAACTACAGAGGATTGTAGGTTCGTCCATCAAAAAACACCGCTAGCTGAACGCGCCCTCTCCCGCTCCGCAGGGCGTCGTCTCTGTCGCGGCGCGCCGTGACGCCGTCGTTCAGCGAGGACCCGTACGCCGACATTGACATCCCGGAGGAGCTGACCCGTCCGCGCCGCCGGCCCGTCTCGCTGCAGCGCGAGAGCGACGCGCTGGTCTCGGCCGAGGAGGCCTCCGCCGCCAGCCGCGCCTCCAAGTAAGCGAACAGGAGCTAGGGCTGGTGAAAAGGGTGGGAATGAAGCCATTTATAGTATTATAACTTTAAACATCTGGTATGGATTTTATTTAGCAATAACACAATCAACAATGACGTCTCTACTTTTAGCACATCAATGTAGGTAAATACGTGCACCAATTTAAAAAGACTGTCAGATCATGGTCAGATCTCGTTCCCTTCCAAGCCGGAAACATACTGCTATAAGTGTCAGCTTTTGCTGTCGTTAGAGCCTCAGTTTCCTGTTGCGGTGACGTGACCGCTGACGCCCTTCCGCTAATCCCCGTCAGGTATCTGCGCTCGGTGCGCTCCGTCTCCGTGCAGAAGATGAGCTCCTCGGAGCAGCAGACCAGCTCCCAGGAGATCCGCTCCAGCGCGCGCGGCCGCTCGGCGCTGCGCAGCTCGGCCGCCGCCGCCGCCGACTCCGAGTACCTCGGCCTGGACGGCAACAAGGTGTATGTGCCGCCGTGGCTGGAGAACCACCCGATCCCGGACCCGCCGCAGCGGCGCGCGCCGCCGGCCGGCGCCATCTGGCCCGAGAAGCGGCCCTTCTACGACCTCAAGAACGACTACGACGCCATGCTCTCCTACATGGGCGTCACCAAGGAGCTGAAGAAGGCCGTGGGCGCCGCCTAGGGAGGCTCGGAGGCCGGCGGGGGCGGACTGGCGGCGCCACTGACGGTCGGACAGCGGGGGCGTCCGGCCGACAGCGGGCGGCGCCGGCACCGGCCCGGACAGCGACTAGATCGTCACGGAATTCTCAGAAGCTTCCTCTGTTTCTTAAAACATAGCCACGAACGCTTTTGTTAGTTCCCACGGAGTTACAGTTTTTACTATCAGCACCGGTAGCTGTAGTTTGACTCGAAAGCTGCTGTGACAGAATACATTAACGAACGAACGAGAGGGACGTAGAACGTGCCTTGAGGCACAGCGGGAGGTCACTATGAGGTAATTTGTTTTTCTTTTTCACCAGATGTAGTCAAAGTTCACGGTTAGGGACGGTACAGTGGTGGGGCCGTGTCTAGCCGTGTTCTTCTATCCCCTTTCGCTGTGAATCTTTAGGTCACCTACCAAGCGAGACTGAAGTACGAATGTTTCACCCTGGTGTTTAGGGCCTTGCTCGGTCTCACCAAAGGAATGCATCCAAGTTCAAACAATAAGAAAAGAGAAATAAATACAATTGTGATCTAGGCTAAAATGAGACACGAGCTAGTATCCCAGTATCTGACCTGACCAGTGTAAATACTTCCGCGTGACCTTGTTGACCTCCACAGACGTGTGTAAGAGAGCCCTCCCACCACCACCCTCCATTCCTGCATTTACCTTCCCATGTGCTCCCATGTAGATTGGATTGTTATTAGGAGGAGACTGCCAGTGTTCGCATCAACATCCTCTGCGCGAGGTACGGACACCGACCGTTAATAGAGTATGCATCTGTAGAGCGGGCCCAATCGGTCGAGAGGTTAGACAACATGTCTGCTCCCCTGCATTGGACCGGTCTCGGGATGATCAGCATGTGCGGGCAGCAAGCGTCTAAGACACTTGAACCTTACGTCGCTACATGTGGTATTTGGTTAAAATACTACTCGACTGAGTACCTATACCAAGTAGGAAAAGAACTATTTCGTCCTATCACCAGAAGTGCTTTCATTGTTTGACATCAGGGCAAGCGTAGCCAGCGAAAAGGCACGCTTCTGTTGCTTGTTTGTTTGTTATAAGCGGCTTCTAAAATACACGTTTTTAGATTATTGTCGTTTGTTGGTTCCAGTCATCTTGCAAAGTGCACCGAGTAGTCCTCATGACAAATCGGGGTTATCGTGAGCCGTGACCATTCGGTAAGCCGAGAAGGTTGGTGTGATATTGGACACCGATGCTGACTCTTCGCTGGCTGTCCGTACCTCACCACTGAGAGCGATGGAGCCTGGGGCGGCCAATCAGAGGACGAGGAAGGATCGGCGTGACTCTGATTGGCTGGTAACACATCGCCTAGATTACATCCGGGAACTGTCCGGGGAAATCCGATCGGTGATGAACCCACGACCCCCAAGCGCCCGCCGGGCTGAACTGAGAGCAGCTGATAAGCGAAAGAAGGTCGTAGAAGAAGGTGTACGTGCGAGAGAGGGATGGAGTTTTATCGATTCTGAAAGTTAGTTCAGGTTCATCTGGCTTTTAGTATTTGCTGTTGTGTTTTACAGGTAACCGTTTTAATGCAGGTCTGCTATACAGTGGCCGCAAAAAAATCTTTACAAAGGTGAAATGTAATGCAAACGCAATGAGCGAGCCGCTCCTATATCTCTTGTACGGGGGGTACTGGCGACTTCTTTTGACATGGACATAATACATATGGTCTCAACTTGCGAAATAAACAACAAGACTGTGGTCAGCGATCATTGTCAGGGAAGATACACCCTGTGTTGGAGTGCCTTTGAGGTGGTGCTTGTTTATCCCTATGGGAAAAAGATGAAACAAGTCAAAGACACTCCAATTCAGGGTGTATCTTTCCTGATAATGATCGCTGACCACAGTGTTGCTGTTTATTTCGCAAGTTGAGACCATATGTATTATGTCCATGTCAAAAGAAGTCGCCAGTACCCCCCGTACAAGAGATATAGGAGCGGCTCGCTCATTGCGTTTGCATTACATTTAACCTTTGTAAAGATTTTTTTTGCGGCCACTGTACCTAATCTGTTGATAATGTTTAGTAAGATCCTCGGCTACTAGTGGTGCCAGTTTCAGAAAATGTATCTTACGTCGACTGTCCGTCCAATAATGTCCAAGCCAGTCAAAGGGGCGCGGGAACTAGGTACTTTAAGAGTTTTATGCCACTTAAGTTTCATCCCTTGACTTTTTCAGGAAAAAAGAAAACATTTGCATAAAAAGTGCGGTATTCCGTCTCAAAGTTGTGGGGCACCCCCCCCCCCCACCGTCCCAAAGTTGGGGGGGGGGGAAGTTGCGCGCACTGCCCCCCCCCCCCGGTTCCCGCGCCTATGGCCAGTCATTTGTCCGAAGATGTCCAGAAGCTACGCAAACACTCAACACTGATATTTAATACCCTTTTAATATATATTACCAGCTCAAAAATGTTTATCATATCGAAAGCTGAGTATTCTATTCGTCAATTAGGTAATGCTATACACGATTACTTTATAAAAATGCTGCTATGTACCTAGCAAGTGACTGTTCAATGTTGTCCAAAGTCTACTGTCATTGTCCAACCTAATTCCGATTTGGACATTGGAGAAAATCAGAATTCCGAAGGTTCAAGTTCCCATTGACACCACTATTGGCTACTCAATGCACATGTGCTGTAGCCAATTCTAATGGAATTGAATGACTTCTAAATCCGGCTTTCTTCTCAATCCATGCCATTTTTGGCCTCTGAAGTGTGACCCTATTCTGCGACAATAGCTACAATGTTTGGAAATTGGAAATAAGATTTGATACCTATCGAAAATGTCCGGTCAAATATGTCTGCTATGGCGCTATGGGCAGGACTTAGTTGGCAGCAGATGGACTTGTGGATCGGACCAAGGTACTTACGTGGTGAACAAGCTAGATTTCCGGTCTCAGCTTTTATTTAATTGGAATGTTGAAGCATCTAGCATATATGTAATATAAACAGCTTAGGTATGTTTTCCTTTATAACGGTAGGTTTTTGATAACATATTTTATCGCGTTTATCAGAAAAAAATCCCGTAGTATTTGAAGATATCGATCAATTTTGCTCACGACTATTTTAAACGGCGCTTAATTGAAGACGCCCAGAATGCGTCACGGCACATCTGACTTTTAGGAGAAAAAAATAGGTAGCTGTTTTGCTCAAAGGGCCGAACAATGAACATGCTGATCTTCCGCAGGAAAAACGCACACACCGAAGGATATTCAAAGTCCGCATTCCCTTGATTCCCATTGTCAAATAAAATCAAGCGCAAAAGACGAAGAAAATAAAATTGACTGAGGTGCTTTAGATGAATGTCACGTTTTGTAAAATGACCGTTCATGACCGTTCTCTCATTTTTAAGTGATGTGATTTTGCATCCTTGTTTTGCATTAACCAAAACATTCGACCACATTCGACTTCCGAAATAGGCCTCCACCCACGTTTTCAAATAGGGTATCGGGTTGTTTGCTCCATAGTTCACACGGCATGGTTTTGACGTTTCAGAAGTTTATCCTTTAACTCGGATTGTTTGCTTTCACTTCATGTACTCAAAAGGCTTCGAGGCTTCGAGATCTGTTGGAAAGAATTGAATTGACACTGAATTGAGCTCGTTGGAAGTAAAGTCGGCGCCATTTTAAATTTAAGGAAGTTGTGGCGCATTTTCCAAAATGCTGCTCAAGAAACCAAAGTTAAGACCGATAGATTATAGCACCAGAGTGTGTATACCACTTGATAAATTTAAAACAAGCTTAAACATCCCACCAAAGGAGGCCCTGGCACATTTGAGGAAGCTCATACAACTACATGCTGGTGAAACAAGAACATGTAAAGAAGAGTTAGAGGAACAGAAAGCCCACAATGATGCGCTCATAAAACAGCTCCGCGAAGACATTATGTCCAAAAGAATTGCTATCTTATGCCCAGGGAAAAATGAATTATTGGTAAGGAAAGCTCTCAAAGGCCATCACGATGGTAGCAAGATATTTGAAGAAAAAGAGCCTAGAGATGTGAATGAAGAGGTAGACTTTCAAACAAGCGACCTTAAAAACAAGCTAAATGCACTAAAACACGCTGTCCGTACAAAAAAGAATCAATTAAACAGCACATTGGTTGTGTTCAATGACACGGTTGAGGACGTTGCCTTTTTGGAGCTGGAGGGACCGGTAGGCGATACAAGATGTTTAGCGCTAGAGAATCATATAGGAGATGTTGGCAAGAGGATCCTCGAGGCCGAGATACTACAACATACACTGAAACATGTTCGCGACCAGCTTGGTGTTGAACAGCTTGCAAATAATGCTTCTCTAGAAATGGTGGAGAAACTCCTGAAAAACAGTCAAGACGAACTTTCCGCCACGCAGCACTCGTTAGACGACGCCCAGCACAGAAAAACACATGCTGTTGCGAACACCATTAAGGCTGAGGTCGACAACCACTCCAAGAAGAAGCACCTGGCACGAAGGATGACACACTACAGGAAGCTAGCAGAAGATCAGAAACACGAGTTCCTTCACCTTCGTAAGGCGATCCAGGCGTACTTCATGTATCAGGAGTCAGTCCCCTTGCGGCACGCCATGTCCGACCAGCACCGCGAGGGCAGCCAGGATTTCGACAACAGCTTCCTGCTGAGCGAACTGCAGGACATGGAGAGCGACACGAACCTGCTGCGCGAGGTGACCGGCAGCCACGACATCCAGGGCGTGGTGCAGTGTTTCGAGACGCAGCGCGACACCTCGCAGCACCTGCAGTCGCTGGTCAAGGAGATGGAGGTGAAGAAGGTGCAGCTGCTGCACCGCATGGAGAAGCTGACCGTGCAGCGCAACGCGGCCGTCTTCCACGACCAGGCGGCGGCGGACGGCGTGCTACAGCGGGCCACCGAGCGGCGGCGCGCGCACGACGCCGCCGCCGCCGGCACCGACTGGAGCGCGCTGGCCGCCGCTAACCGAGTGACGCAGGCGCTGGCCCGCATGCGGCAGCTCCTCGAGTACCTGGTGACGTCTCTGTCTCGTGCCAGCCTGGTGCCGGCGCCGCCGCGCGCCGTCTCGCGCCTGGAGACGGCCGCCTACCTGACCGAGATGCTGCGGCTGGCCGCCGCCGGCGTCTCCAAACTGATGGAGCGGCTCGAGGGCCAGGAGCCGGACGAGGTGCTGCAGCGCGCGGCGCGAGCAAAGTTCTCGCTCACCCACTCGGAGGAGAAGTTTAGCACGCGGCAGCCGCCGGCGCTGGTGGCGGCGCCGGCTTCCGATGACGGCGACACCACCGGCGATGACGTGCAGATGGCCACGCGGGCCGTCATGAAGCGGCAGGCGCACCTGATTGTCCAGGCTAAACTGAAGGCCGGCTACGGCAGGAAGAAGTGGTGATAGCCCCGCCGGCAGACTCGTGTTCGTGTTTCTTATTGGTGGATTAGCCATGTATTTACTGTTAAGTGTATAGTGCTGATAGCTAATGTTGCTCGATAGCTGTGCAGCGGTAGGCATGTTGCTCCGTTGCGCAGGACTCAGCGTTTCTTTGTGTTGTAGAGCTCCGAATGACAAGCGTTTGTGTGACTTGGAGCCTCGCTACTCAGGTTTCATTTCGTTGGGCATGCAGGTCATTCGCTGAAATAGGCAACCGAAAAAGCTTCGCTCTTGATGGCCATGATTATCACGGTGTTTTCATTCCATCGCTCCATGAGATGACTTCCCGTCGAAACTTTGCCACGACATATTTACAACTGCGAACTACAAATACAACGAACGAACTCCGATTCCGTCCTTAAAAGTAAACCGATACCATTTTCGCAGATTTAATTATCATGTGTGCGCCAATAACATCGCTGCTTTTGCGACGCCGCACCTCTGATCACCTCCGATCATTTCTGACGGGCGGCGACAGACCGGTAGCGGACGACCAGATCACCGGGTGCACCGATCACAGGCCGGACGAGAACAGGTTCCTAGGTCGGGCCTCCGCTGCCGTCTCTGCCCGCCGCCGGCCGGCGCGTCGTTGACCTCCGCCCGGCGCCCTCCCTCCACTCAGGGAAGGTGGGCGCCCTCCCGCCCTCCCGTCCGGCCGGCGGTGGACGGGAGAGGCCGGCACCCGACAGTCGCTCCGCAGCCGCCGGCAGACCCGCGCGGCTCTCTCCCAGCCGATCTCGCCTGTCATCATACGGTCACAGGGGTGACTGATCCCAGTTTTCCAAGCCTTCCCTGGGCGTTTTCTTGAACCTCGGACGGCGATTTGAACAGACGTGCGCAAGATATATCCTTCTTTTCACCAGTCGAGTGCTCCAGGTTCGATTCCAGTAGCCTAGTTCGAACGTCTTCCTTTGAGAAACACCCCCAGCCATGATCCCCCTAGTCCTGTCGCTGTCTGCGCTGCTGGTGGCGCTGTGCGGCGCTGACAAGCTGCCGCTGGAGGCGCGGGGGAGTGTCCTGGCCGACGGCTACCTGCCTCCTCCGAGAGAGTACCTGCCGCCGCCGAGGGAGTATCTACCGCCGCCGGGACGCACTGGAGAGCTCTCACTGCCATCAGGAGGGCCGGAGGGACTCTCCCCGCCATCAGGAGGGCCGGAGGGGCTGTCACCGCCCTCGACTGGCGAGCTGGGGCTCTCTTTGCCCTCTACTGGAGCGCTGGGGCTCTCTCTGCCCTCGGTGGGTGCGACGGGACCTGACGCCGACCTCGGGGAGGTCATCACCTCGTCATCTGCAGGATCGCTGCTCTCACTGGGAGAGAGGGGACCGCCGCCGAAGGCGACAGGACCCGACACGGACCTCGCAGGTAAGTGAAGGAATGGTTAATTGCGATTGCTAGCTGTTGCATTAAAAAAGGTCGGGTAAATATACCTATTCTTTGTGGTAAGATTTACAATCACGGGCAATTGCTGTCGAATCGGCAATGATCAAAGCCAAACGTCTCAGGCATATCAATCCAATAATGTCCCGTTACAACCTTTAGAGGATGCCAAGAGGGTATGCTAACTTTACCCCATGTTTCTGATAAAGCCTCCCAAAAAGTACACCTGATATATTTTGGCACCGAGTCACTAAACTCACCTGATCGATGATGACAAATAAGTAATGTATCACAACCTTTCAGCACACATTGATTGACATATCGGAGATGGCCGAGTGCAAACCCGTCATTGCTAAGTGCATGTGGTAGATTGTACATTGACAGTTCGTCCGCAAACACCCGTCCGGTTTTTGCGGGAATAGCCTCGCCATCAAACTCAATCGCAGTCAAAACCAGTTTGAGAGCATTTATCACAACAGAGCAGCTAACTCGGAATGTCGGCAGAGCAGACTTCAAAGTGCACGCTGTCCCTCACTGCCCGATAAGAATACCCCGGACCAATATATCAATTATACCACTCACCCAGTAAACTAAGTGCCCCTGCAAGCTTTGTAGGTAGGTATTGCAAGTCACTTATGCGCTGTGGTAGGTAATGCGGGATTCGGAATTAAGTCAGGACAGCTAAACTTAGCCGGACGAGATTGCATGGTATTTTCAACATCTATTCAACCAAAAATAATATTCGTCAAGGACATATCTATTTCGCCTTAGGAGGATGAGCCAAGGATAGGTATTATTTTGGATCCTCCCAGCCCTGGTTGGAATAGCAGAGCCCTTCTGACTCCCTCCCCTGACTCGCCAGTGGTTCTGGAGCCGGGCTCGGCCCACCCCGGCTTCTGTCCGCGCCGCCAGCTCACCCGCTCCTGTCTGCTCGTAAAGGCCGCGCCCAAAGAGTGCTTCGCAGACGTCGACTGCAGCCCCCAGGAGAAATGCTGCGCGCTGGACTGCGGACTGCAATGTGTGAATGCCGGTGAGTTTTAAAAGTTAAAAAATCAAGTCATATGTTCCCCGTAACGTGGCAGCCCGTGGTAGGGGGCAATTGTCTATTTCAGATAATGAGATGAACCAGTCACGCAGCTACAATAGATGGATAGCCTTTATGCGACAAGATTAAGCAAGCTGACTATCTCTCCTAACATCCTGTGACGTTTCACAGTGGTGCAGCCGCCGTCGTGTGACTCGTGTGATCGTAACACACGTGGCTGACTGTGACCTGTGTGACGTTTCACAGTGGTGCAGCCGTCGTCGTGTGATCGTAACATACGTGGATGACTGTGACCTGTGTGACGTTCGTTTCACAGTAGTGCGGCCGTCGTCGTGTGATCAGATCGTCTGCGCCCGGCCGGGGGAGGAGTGCGTCGACCTGGAGACGGGGCCAACCTGCATCGGTAAGACCTCGCTTACCGGACCGCGGATGGCTAGTGCCAAGACTAGAGATGTCAATCGTATACCAACTTTTTGGTATACCGATACCAAACCGATACCAACTTGGTATTTGGTATTTCAATCATAATGAGTAATGTTTTTGTTGGTATTATGAAACCTCACTAATGTATAAGAGGCTGAGAAATTAGTAAAAAGTCGGTATTTCCCTCATATAATGAAGTTGGTTCGGTATCGGTATTTCCTCACGGTTTATGTTGGTATTTGGTTTGGTATCGGCATAATCGGCATTCATATTTTCTGTACCTAATAGACATCACTACCAAAGACGAGTTTTTTTTTTACTAGCAAGTGGCGATTTGTAAACGAGCTGGCCCTTACTCAAAGGCAATGTGCATGTTGAATCGATGAAAAACCTCAGTGATAGCGAGGCGGATGCTATTAATCGCAATGAAAAGACGTGTGACTAGCGAGACACGCTAGCTGCATTGCGGTACAGCCTACATTCAGGCGTTTAACTCCGCCGCCACCTACCGGACAGAATCGCAAGCTAAAGTTCACAACCGACCGTGGAGCGAATGAGGTGCCGCTATCGCACCGAACCAATGACCCATGTAGAAGTGGAAGACTGCTGACTGATAGGATTTATTACACAGGGATCGAATTCAGTTCATATTCCCCGCTTTACTATGACGCTAACCATGTAAGTGACCATACTTTGTCATGCCTGCCATGTTTGATCGATGTCTTGCCGCTCAAAAGTCACAACATGTTCCCGTGTGACATCTGGCGATACCCCCCCCCCCCCCCCTGTTCTCCAGGCCACTCAAAGTCGGGCCAGTGCCCGTTCCACGGCCAGTTCTGCTCCAACCGGATCCTCGTCTGTCGCCAGGACACAGACTGCGAGGGCGACAAGCTGTGCTGCAACCTGGGCTGCCACCGGCTCTGCGTCGACCCCGGTATATGTCGATGACGATAGCGAGTTTAGGCGCGATAAACACGCCTGAAGCAGTCTAGGCTCAGTCAGAGCCTGAGTCCTTGAGTCCGTTCAGACTCAAAGATAAATTAGAAATACAAGTCGAAATGTATTTAAAACGGGGCTGATCGGCTTTATACCTTGAAAATCAGGACGTTCCACAATAAATCTTTGTTTGTTTATTAGAGCTTACGGGCGCGTCGACTGCGGTGGTCATTTTGCGCCCATAACCACAATAAATCTTTAATATCAGTATTGAAGAACTTCTGGATTGCCATATCAATGGAAAATGTTAGACTGAACGATACGCCCCCCAGTACTCGCCGCTTCACAAAGCGTATAACAGCCTCTCCCCTCTGGACCGCTCGCGAGCAGCGTCCACGGAGCAGCACCTGGGCTTCTGCCCGGAGGCGGTGGCGCGGCCGCCCACCCGCTGTGGATTCCAGTGTCAGGTGGATGACGACTGTTCGCCAGAGCTGAAGTGCTGTGATAACGCCTGCGGCAAGGTGTGCCAGCCAGGCGGTAAGCAGATACCGATCCCTTACCGGCAGCGGGGTAATGGGGCTGTATAGGGGTGTGAGGAGAGGGAGGGCGCAGTGGCGGCCTCAGGGGCAGCAGGCAGGTGAGAAGGATATATAGGAGGAATCGAAAGTTATCACCATGTTCAGGAAACATGCAACTAAAGCCTAATGATATACAACACTATAGAAACATGTGGAGTTTTGATGTTTTTACGTAAGTCATTTAAATAGTTTAAACGTTTCCGGTCAAACAATTTTGTTTTGTATAGATTTGAAGGATGTGCAGACAGCAGGCCGGCATAATTGCACTCGGTAATACCGTACCGTTTCAGGTGACGTCCTCACTCTGCCACCGTTCCAGTGGTGCCGTTCATCACCTGCGCCAACCGAAACTGTCCGTCCAACACCCGCTGTCAGATGATCGGACTGGAGGCGGTCTGTAAAGGTGAGCTGCAGTCCACAAAGACTGGACGGATTTGCCTAGTTGCACGGCATTATGGATAAGTGCATACGTCATTTCCAACTTGGAATACTTGTCATATCTTTTACGAAAAATAATTTACAGGAACAATGCTAGAATTTTTGGGCCATTTAGGTTCAGTACAACTAACTAGATACATTAGATATTAGATAGGTACTTTAGTAGAATAACCCTGACTCCAGTCATGAGTGGTGTTAAAGTTATGTATGAGCGTCGAAGTAAAATACGACGGTCGAAGTAAAACCATAAAATGCACCATACCGTTATAACAAGGCAACGTGGTGACATTATTTGTGAGACTCTGTTTTCTTCCACAGCCCTGTAGCAAGAAAAAAATATTTTTTGGAAAACACTACAAAATGGCAGGAGGACGCTCCATGCAGTCACGCAACAACAGCTAGCCCAGCGACCCCAACAAGATGCTTCCTCGTCCAGCCCATTCCGCCAGAGAATGGAATGTGTTCCGGAGCTGCCGGCTTCTGAGGTTCGGCCTCCAGCTGACAGCTGATTGATGTGATTGAGGGCATTAATAGATGATCACCGTCAACGGTCACAATGCAATTTCCGGACGCATAATCTATCAGGAAAAATCCTATTTAGTAAAAGGTTTAAATGAAAAAATAAAGTTGTATTTCTGTATAAAATGACAAAAATTTTTACACTTTGAACAACACTGGTGAAAAATACGCCTCTCACACCTACAACAGACTGTTTTGCTTGGCAATTTTCTAACGTTCTTTGCTTTGGCAGGAACAGCAAAGTCCATGCTTGGTAATTGTTGCCCCGTTCTACACAACATAGCACATACGCATAACAATACCTACAAACATCCCACACTATGGAACGGTTGAATGATGTCACTCCGGGGCGGACAATGAACGCACCACCGCCCAGACTCGGGGAAACTCGGCCCGGTCTGCAGCTCTTGGTGGCAGTACCGAACTGCGACTGTCCTACGTCAAACGCCGGGGCATTACTCGGATTCGAGTTGGCGTCACCACAATACAATGAACCATGTTTTGGTTTCGGAGCGTGAATGGACTAGGGAAGAGGCGGTGTTACCAAGTTTTAGGAGTACTTATTGTGGTTTGATATGACCCAGAAAGTACACGCGGATTCGAGAATATCGTGACTGGCAAATTTATACAATTACAACACACTTCCTGCCAGAGACGACTAAAGAAGTGATAAAGTGAATATTTTGGATAGCAGATAGAAATTTTGAAGAAATGTGTGAAGGGAATACAACTTTCAGCGGAAGAGAAATTAAAGTAACTCATTTACTGCAGAATTTGCACACCCATCTAGGCTACACACATTCCCATCGACGACAGAAATCCCTGAATAACTTTGATTGGCAAGACACAACGTACGAACTTAAGTGCCCTCGCCTGCTTAGTCAACCTTCTCCGTATCAACCCAAACATCCGAACGTCTACTCCCGGCGCCCCCGTCCGCCTGTCAACAGTCTACCCACGGGCGCCTCGAGGTTAAATATCTGCCGGGTACCGTCCAGACTCCAGACTACCCTGCCTCGTCACCTTACCTTCACTGAAGAGAGGAGCGTCCCATCTGTGGACGCAGCCCCGGGAACAAATGTAGTGGCAAACAGACAGCTTGGTGGGACAGACAGCGGCCGTCCCGCCCCGACATCCGGTCCCGTCGGACGGGCCGGTATCACAACGCACCTCCACCCCTCGGCGCTATCACATGAGTCAAACGTCAGCACGCAGAAACAGCGCCCCGGCGGAGCGGACACAGCCGTGCGTCTGAGCGGCGACTGACCGGACCGGGCGCCGCTCCCTCACTGGCCGCACACGAACCGACTCGCCCACACGCCGTCGTCCAGTCCGGTGGCGTGGTACAGGTCGACCAGCAGCCGCGACTGGGCCGAGGAGGCGCCGCCGGCCAGCGGCGCGGCCAGCACGTGCGCCAGCAGCAGGCCGTGCTCGGCCAGCGCCACCAGCCGCTCGACGGCGGCCGGCGGCCAGCGGCGCGGCGGCGGCTCGCTGGCAGAGCCCAGCGAGCAGGCCACCGCCTGGGCGGGCAGCTGCTGGAACCGGCGTACCAGCTCCCGCAGGTCCTCGCGGGGAACCGGCTCCGAGTGGCCCCAGTCGGTCAGAAACACCTGGGCACGAGGGGGGGGGGGGGGGTGAGTGAGCCGAGTCGCCCTACAGACTGGGATACCTCATGAACACGGATCACTGCTGGCATCAGCAAATGAGCCAGGATGCAGCTGTGCTGTATTAAATTAACATGAAAACCAAGAGGAGCGTGCCACTCAACGCTCACTGATTACGGACAGTGCTAAGCACATAATTGGACTGGTAACGGTCAGCATCTATTTCTACTTGTCACCGACTCTAAACACCCCCTGCTCACCTCGGCGTGGTCCTCGTCGGCGACTAGCACGGTGCCCCGGTGCCAGCCGCCCTGCCACCGGACAGCCACGGGCGCGCCCACCGGCGGCGTCGGCTGCGACCCCTCGGCCGGCCGCGAACCGTAGAAGCGCCGCATCGCCGCCGCTAGCATCTCGACGCTCTCTGCCTCGGCCAGACGGCGCACCTCGCCGATAACTGGAGACGGACCGGGCGAGCGTCAGGGCCGGGACAGGGGCTGGAGAGAGGTACATGGAAAATTACTGAGGGGAAAGCAGAGAGAAAAGGACAAGAACAGAATAGTGAGAGACGTCTGAATCAGTTACGGAATTTATCATTTTTTTCAGATTCATGCACATATTTATCAAATAGTCAAAAAACAGTTACATATTTAACAGATCTAAATATTACATTGTTAACTAGATTTTCCATCTAAAATACAGGTAAAATGGAGACATCTCTACCCAACAAGTAATATACGTCATTACTTCCCCATGGTCCCCTTACAACAGTCTGAAACTGAAGCCGTTCTAGTCATTTCGCGACCAGTCCCTCCCTAGCTACCCCGTCCCCTAGCCATCCCTCATCCTCCCCGACTCACAGTCCTCGTTGACGCGCTGGGCGGCGCGGACTCCGAACGGCATCACCACATAGAACAGCTCCGGCGAGATGACGGCCGTCACCTTCACGTAGACGACGGCGCCGGCCGGCGGCAGGCGCAGCGGCTCGCCGGGCGCGCGCGGACGCCACTCGTCATCAGAAGAGGCCAGTGGAGGTGGCGGTGGGACAGTGAACCCGGGCTCCGCGGCGGTGTCATCGGCAGAGGGGAGGGCCTCCAGCGGCGCCGGCTGACGGAGGGGGGGGGGGAGGAGGGGGGGAGTGTCAGTCACGGCACTACCTGAACGGCACGGCACTACGCTACCTCACACCAACCGGCCCGCAGATGCACCATCAATCTGCACCCAAAGTAACATCAAATATCAGTGAACAAGGTCCGAAGAAACACATGAATGTATGACACTCAAACGTGTTACAAACATTCATATTTATGCAGCGTTTTGGAGTACCAAAACACAAATTCAGCACCATCTGATAACCCAGACTGTCGAAAGCGGCATTGCAACCCGTTCGTTTCCGCGGTGCTCACCCTGGTGGCGGCGGCCCCGACGTCCTCCTGCACCTCCCAGTGCTCGACGAGGCCCTCCTCTGCCATAGTCCGCGTGACGGGCACCACGTCACAGTCCTCCAGCCGGTACAGCACCACGGCCAGGCATTCCCTGTGGGACGGTCAGCGGTCAGAACCCGGCGCCCGCGGTACAATAAGGCTCTCCAGCCGGTGCAGCACCACGGCCAGACACTCCCTGTGGGACGGACGGACAGCGGTAAGCACCCGGGCGCCCACGCGGTCGTCAGCACACAGACTGTCCTAACTCCTAGACCGCTGACAGGGCTGTAATGGGAGCCCGAATACGAGCTACCGTGCAGAGCTGGCGTTACAAACAGCGGCCCAGCGACACCGACTGCGAACGTGCACCCGTCTGGGGGTCATAATGGCCAGACAACACTACCTGCTCAACTTTCACAGCTTAAAGCCTGCTGTGGATGTGACGCTACTCGAATTCACGGGCTAATTACACTGAGGGGTGGATAGGATTGGCGACTTCCAGTAGTCACCTGATTCATATTCAGAAGATCAGATGCTTAGTGACGAAACTCAAAAGCCGATTACAAGAGCCGATCATTGTTACTTTTATTAAAATATACTTCCCTAGAAAACGTAAATTGCCGAAAAAAAACGAAACTGCAATTCAAATTTCGTTCAACTAAGAGCCCCTGGCGTGCGTTCAACGCCATCGTATTCGATTTTCAGTAGGTATTTCATTACAGCCCGCGCCGCTCCGTACTTACTCAGTGGTCTCGGAGCTGACTGTATGGGCGTTGATGTTGATGACGTCCACCAGGTCCACGAACCGCTCCCGGGCCTCCGCCGAGTAGTCGGACTCGCCCGCTAGCGGAGCCACCTGCGGGACGACGGGTCAGAGGTCAGGGGGGCCGATAGGTCAGGGGGGCCGATAGGTCAGGGAATGGGGGGGTCAGGGAATGGGGGTCAGGGAACGGGGGTCAGGGAATGGGGGTCAGGGAACGGGAGGTCAGGGATGGAAGGGCAGCCGCGGTCAGAGTCGGTAGGTCAGGGACAACAGCGGAAGATCAGGGGGACACGCGGTGCGATATGGAGGTAATCATTCAACAACGAACTCCAGTAGTGACGTGGCTGCCGACTGAAAACTTTTATCTTTTTCACTTCTTCGCTAACCGATATCGTCAACTCACTCCTACTCCGTTCAACACTCAGTCTCTTCCACTCTACTCCTACTTTCTTTCCCATTCCGCTCTCGCCATCTCTCCCTCCCCTCCTCTCTCACCCCGGAACACTTGGCGCGGACGAGGAAGACGGGCTGCGAGGCGAACTGTTCGAGCATCGGGCGCAGCTGGTCGGGCGACACCTCATCCTCGTCGCCAAAGTCGACGGCGTGCACCCGGTACCTGGGCAGACCGTCACCGCCCTGCGGCGGGACCGGGGCGCAGCGTCAGCCGGTGTGGTGTAGGTGGTAAAGGGGCGGGATGAATATCAGCCGAGAATGATATCGGGAAGCATGCAGCATTGTCACTGAAACCTTACCTTGCAACAGCGAAAAAAAGAAAGAACGAAAAACACCTGCAGGTGAATACACAGAGCAATGAGCATTAAGCATTCAATAGGAGTATCTGGAAATTACAGCATCATCATTATACTACCTCCCATCCCACCACCTAATAGAAAATAAAGACCAACTTCATATAAAAATCAAACCTACGAGCCTCAGCGCGTATCCCGTCCTCCGTTCAGTACCGTCCGCTCCCAGCCCTGACCTCTGGCGGTAGCTGGCCCACGATGACGGCACGGCACCATTCGTCGTCCGAGAAGCGTGCCGCCCAGAAGGAGCCGGCACAGAGCAGGTCCGGGTGGAGGCCCTGACGCGGGTGGACCGGCAGCCGGGCGTAGGCCGTCTGCATCTGCTGCTGGAACCTGGCCGCACGGACAGAGAAGGTAGCGGGTAAGGGAAATGGCGACGGTTCATGGGATAAAAGGGTTACCAACAGCAGGCCGCAACAGACGGCACGGGAAGTTCATAAA